AATACAGGTATAAAGTATTTTTCACATTTTTATTTATCTAATAATTACAAGTTTCTATGACATTAAAAACTACAAAGTACTTTTTGAATAATACATTAAAAATTCTTAATTGACCTACCAATAAAATTATTTACAACGATAAATTACCAAGTTCTTGCTTCTTTTTGTTTCGAAAAAAATCCTCAAGGTTATCTCTTGAAATTCAAGTTCAAATTCAAGGTTAATCCCTCATTTCCCTTTCAGCTCCTGATATATTTCCCCCAAATCCATTTAACAATACTAAAATGATACTCATGAAGGTCACGTGATCAAATCCTATTAAGCCCGAAAGGCGTTATTGTAAATGATATCATAGCTTGGGTTGCACGACCCCAGGGATAATCTCACTCGACTCTGTCTTGTGATGTTATACTCAATGTCTTTAAGCCCAACACATTATATATATATATATAGATAGTACAATAATAATTTGCTCGTTTTATTTGGTAAACTAAGTGCATTTAATTTTTAATTTTTTTCTACACTTTCTTCTTAAAAATAACACAAAACTCTTTCTAACAAAAAAGGAATCATATTCATATTTTCTACGATTTTTACGTTTTTACGTGTTATGAGATGAATTTAAAAGTCCAACTGTTATGGATGAAAATATCAATACGTAGAAACAGATGCATATCTACTAAAACGTTATATCTTATATAGTATTTTAAATGACTTCTTGTCAATGTAGAATTCCTGAGTCTATCAGTTAAGTATCTTACAGAGGATATCTGATTCACCAAATATTTTTGATACAGTGCAACATAAAAGAAATAATCTTCAGAAGATTTCTGAATACTGAGATATTGTTTATGAGAAGGTTAAATCAATGTTTCAACCATTCTTTACTAAAACTATAACCGCCCAATATTTCTATCATAAAAAATTGGAAGAAACATTCCAGAAGAATAATCAATTAGAAATAACATTTAAATCAACAACTATCTGTAGTTCTAGGCTTTGGCATTTCGAATATCTATGTCAAGAATTATTCTCCAGTATATTCTCCAAATATTGTTTTGTCAATTTAACTTTGCAATCTATGGTGATATTAAATGGTTTTGTACTGCTGAAAGGGAAGGATAAATCAATTCAATCCTAGTCAATGGGAGTAAATTAGAGTTACCGTCCTTATGGTGAATTACTCTTATTAGATTCGATCACATACCAACCGGATAAATCTTTATAAGTGATACCTTATTACCTATATTTACATTTGTGACTGATTATAACAAATATTTGAGAACTATAGTTTTCAAGTCATGAAATGAGTTCTTTTTTACAAACCTCAACAATATATTTTGAATGTGTTGAACACTCGACCACTTATGACCTCACTGTGAAATTATGTCGTTCGTTCATTACTAAACAATGAATTAATGGTCATGTGATGAACCTGTTTATAAATAAACAGCTTAAATATGCCTGTATTGTAAAAAGTGTTATATAAGGAAGAACATTTGCAAAGTTAATGTAAGCATGAAAGTATAAATTGCTGTGAAGGAGAAGCTTCAGACAAACTAAGCTACAACACATTTTAAAAAGAAGTGGTATATAACAGATGTCTATTTTCAAAAACTCCAAAGGACTCACCTGCAAATTCCTCCTTAAAACGTCTGACTTTTCAGCACTTTATTCAACGATCATACGAGGAGCATTTGAAAAGTTCTAAGAATGATTTGATTAAATATTAATCGTTTAAAGGAAGTTAATCAATTTGATATTATTGTAAAAAGCAGGAAAATACGCACATTTTTTGGAGTCTCTTTATATTTTTTATCACTAATAACTCTGAAAATGACGCCTGAAACATGTGTGTTTTGTATGCTTGAAAGTCGCCTTTTTGTAGACATGAAGACATCGAATTAGGGCCTTCCTATGCTCTTTTGTAAAAAAAATACTTTAAAGAAAATTTAGCATAGAGCTAGAATAAGACTAAGAATGGTACTGAAATCAGCAATTTCAATTTTTATTGATAATAAACCGGTTTAGGATCGGTTACGTTATCAAAGACATTCATAGTTATTATCCTTCAGAATAATAGAGTCAATCTGATTGGTCTATGGCATGTCACGTGCAGGGAGACAATTCATGATGTCTGCCTCACGCGCGGGGTGAAATCCGTGCTGTCTACCTTCAGATGACAATCAAATGGCCCAAGGGTGACAGCTGTGTTGTCTCACTTTATATAAATATTTTCTTAAGCGAAATAACATGCGGTGAACAATAAATTCTAACGGTGATGTATGTTGGCATATTTTTTTTAAAAAACGTATGGAATCATAGCAGTGGGTAGAAAAACAGAAGCGTTTCGTCTGATATTTTCTACTCTTTTTTATTAACGTAAATTTTGAATCTTCAGGATAATAAAACTATTATGGATTGTTTAAGAGAGACACATCACAAATTATCAGGTCTTAGAAAGGGGTGCGCCCTCGGGTGACAGCCTTACTCAGACCTGATAATTTATGATTTCTCCCTTCTAAACAGTCCATAATTGTATAATATGATAAACGTGGACTTTCAATCTATTTAATAGCTCCCATGTATTAACGGAAACGATTATTAAAATTTGCTATTTCTTCAATGTCTGCATTACAATCGTTATCTAAAAGTACGACTGTCCCAGAAGAATCTTAGAAGAAATGGATCATTGAGCAACTTGAAAATTCGAATGAAGGAGAATAATTCATACTGTTATGAAGAAGACGTCACTGCAGAATCAGCTCAACCTACCGAATGTGAAATTATTCAGAAATATTCATTGTTGTTAGATTCCATAAATCAAGGAATCCTTCTCTTTACACATTTACAATTAACTTCCAGGCCACTCTTGGTCTGTTTCAATGATCAAAATATCCTTCCAAAGCAAATCAAAACGCATATTTAAGGGGGGAGTTACTTTGAATTATTTAATGTCTAAATGGTGAATATTCCAATACAGGAAAAGGAGGTGATGAACACACTGTCGTATGCATACCGTTATTTATGTACATATTGTTCGAGATAGAACTGGTGTTATTTTAGCAGAGAAAAATTCTCGAAAGGGATTTTAATCAATAAAAACACACAAACAAAAAAATCACTGTCTTAGATGATATTGAAGAAATATGAAGATAACAAACAGTATTCAATCTCGAAAGTCCAATGAAACGAAACAAATTTGGAGCGGAGAAAACGCGGACCTCAAAATTTAGAGTTGGGATCAGGTGCTATGGAGAAGTGAGCATCCCCTGCCGATCATTCACATGCACCCGCCTTGTGCTCCTTGTCATGATCGGGAAAAAACGGAAGAATCCGTAGACAGATCAGTATATAGATAATGGCCTAACAATAAGTATGAAAAACGTCAGTCAGCATTTGACTCAATGATAGGTTTTTTGTGCTGACAAGGTCATTGTATCGACCATTAAACTTGCGAAATGATGACTTCAAACGAGACCCTTGATATCCTTGATTCATCAACTTGTTTGTCAATAGCTTGTCTCGTTTTAGAAATTGTTCATACGTAGAGCATGCTCTGGCGTATCGAATCAACTGATAGACATAAACCCCATATGCAGGTGATAAGGGTATATTGCTACATAAGTAAGGGAAGCTGACGATTGAAAAGTTGAAGTCATCACGATTATCATATAGTTTTGTTGTTAGATTACCATTTACTCTTTTTTTCTAGTAAAATATCTTGATATGAAACAGAAGTGTCAGACTCTGTGGTATCTTTTATTTCAAGCTCACTGTGTATATCGGGTCAACATATGAATGGACACGGAACCCGGATTCTTACGGTCTCATCCGTAAGACCCGTGAATTTCACTTCCAATGCCGGGCGCTTTGCGAAGGAGCAGTCTATACCAATGTTTTATGTCTGAGGTTTGACGCGGCGCTGGGAACGAAAATCGAACCCAGTATCATCCGATCACAAAGCGAACGCCCTACCACTAAGCTATTGCGACCGGTAGATGAAGGATAAGAACGCATTACAAAACAGAGATTTTACTTAACATGCAACATTCAAAGGTTGGAATATTTCATACCAAATAGATAATCATCCTGTATACAAATGGTAAGTAGGGAAAAATACAATCTTAAAATGGAATACGTCTTTTTTCCATAAGTATAACATTATTCAGTTAGAAGAAATTAAAGTATGGTTTCACAATTCATAGTTGTTTTCTTAAGATAAAAAGGAATTGTTGATTAGGATCTTCTTATCAACATAAATGATAAAATCCATACGGAATATTAAGTTATAGCGATGAGAACTCTGAACAAATTACTCAGTCGGTAGAGCGCTCGCTCCGTGATCGGGAGATCATGAGTTCGAATCTCGACCGCGAATGACCTAAGTCGATAAAAAATGGATAGCAACTGTTCCTTCGCTATGCGCTCGGCAGTTTGAAGTGAAAGTTGCGGGTCCTTCGGATGAGACCTTAAAAACTGAGCCCCCGTGTCACGGCAGGCGTTGGCACGATGAAGATCCCTCACTGCTCAATGGCCCTGAGTGCCGAGTAAGGATCAAAATTTGAAGCCCTTCACCGGTATATGGTGACGTCTCTATAAGAGTTAAAAATTCTCGAATGGGACGTAAAACAACATACAATCAATCAATCAATCCGAACAAATTATACGATGTGTTTAATCTAAAAACCATTATTTTTCCTTTGGAAGCAGTGAGTTATATGTTATGGCATAATTTTATTGTTGCGTGCTGCTGAAAGAAGGGACATGTTATTCAAAGGTGCTCCTTTTGATATTAAAATTGCTTTCTACTTTGTTAGCAGGACCTTCACTTCAACCAAGTAAGTTCGACATATTTTTAGTCAATATCAAAACCTTTTTAAGTCTCCCTTTTCCTGACGAGTCTCTGCGGAAGGAAAACATTCTTGAACAGTTGACCGCAACATCCTTGTGAATATATTTTACATTTCAGGTGACAATAAAATGACTTCGCTAATAACTTGTCAAATTTAACATTTACTGCTCTTCCAAATTTTCCTTACATTGTTTAAAATCACGAGATACAAGCTTTAATTTTTATCATACATATACAAGCTATAGGTATATTAATGAAATTATCAAGCAATTATACATCTTATCTACTGCTTTGACGAAATAACTTCTTGAAGAGATATGTACATTCTTTTCTGAAGAGGTTATTACAAAAAGAATAAATTAAAGGGTTTATGGCACAGTTCAACATGTAAGATCTCAAGATCAAGTAAAACGCCATTTTCTGAGACCTTGTGAGAAATTTGAACGACTCTTTGTGAATCGTTCTGTGAAATGCAATTCCTAAGAATGGCGTAAAGCAGATAACATACAAAACAGTCACAAGAAATAACATTATAGTAGTTTTTCCAACTCTTCTGAAGCGTTTGTCTGACACTGACTTTCTCGCCTTTTTCAAAGTATCAGAAGTAGTCTTGAAGACTAGTTTGATAGCACCAGGTGCTGGAGGTCTGTCTTCTTTTGCACCATTTTCAATCTGCGTATTTATACCTTTCATCGGAAGAAACTCCTCTTGTGATTTGCACGAACCATCACGGTCTCCTAAATACAGCTGATCATCCTCATCTACGTAGTCTGATAGTGACGTCACAGAGCGTGACTTTGATCGGAAAGTGCGAAGTTTACAGACTTTTACACCTACAATTGAATATACTATTGACAAAATTAGGAATATGATCACAGTGCAAACCCCATTGAACACAAAGAATATCAAAGGATAATCAGTGGTAACGTAATTATCCTGGATCAGACAAAGCTTTAAAATGGCTGTTTTTGTCACAGGAATGCTTTGTGTTCCATACAGAACCAGTGCTGGCCATAAAAATAGTACAGCAATTCCAATAGTACTGAAGATGATAATTTTGGCAGTGTCGGTTGTCATGGGCTTGTTTAAAGGTCTGCAGATACGTTGGTACCTGTCCACAGCAATTGCTATAAGAACCAGCCCACTAGACGTGTTACAACCGTAAGTAATGAACCGAGTGACCTTACACAACACTGGGTAGTCGAATACAAATGGGCGTAGCATAAGAGCAATTTCCATCGGATAAGTCACGAGACAGTTCACTAAGTCTAACATAGCTAATCCCAGAATGAAAGTCCTTGTGGAACTGCGTCCCCATTTCTGGAAGTAAACGTAAAGGACTATTGAGTTTCCGGGGACACCGATGATAAGGAGGAGAAATGTGTATACAAGCGCGGGTATGTAAAGTGGTACTTCTTTTGAGTTGAAATATTCGACGGTCAATGATACGACTAGATTCTCGGTTGTAGTATGTTCACTGGTAAAACCACCTGTCGACATAGACAAATTATCGTGATCCAAGGAAATGTAAGCCATCGTTGTTGAAAATTGACCATAACTGAATTCACTCTTTCCTGCTTCCAAACCAGCCGTCATGGACACGGTTTCATGATCAGTCCAGTTCATGCTGCCTTAACCTGTAACAGAGAAGGACGAATGTAACATTGTTTTGAAATACAGATGCACACTTAGATTGTATTCGTCACCGGAAAAGAGGCGGATGCAGTTCATTTAAAAAGACGACCACGTTTCTTATGAAGCCCTTCTCGATAATGGCATTTAAAAATAAACTTTTGGAATCCAGTGCTTATGAAACAGTAAAAGGTTCAACTGTCGTTATTCTTTTAAAGGCATGTATACAAAGTCAATTAAAGATATTGACATTCTTTCCACGGGGTAATTCAAATTCATGCTTTAAATTGTTAATAATTTAAGACACGATCTCGTGAATGTAACGATCAGCGATCGATCTCAAAAACCTACAACAATACAAATTTGTGAACGGAACATAAAACATGGACCCCGGAAATTACAGAGGAGGGATCAGGTGCCTAGGAAGAGTAAGCATCCCCTGTCGACTGGACACACCTGTCGTGAGCCCTGTGTATTGATCAGGTAGACGATATATTCCGTGGTCAACTTAGGTATAAAAACAAAGGCCTAACAATTGATATGAAATACGTCAGTCAAAATTAGACCCAGTTATAGGTAAACTATTTTTTAACAAGATCATTAAAACGACCACAAAATTTACAAAATGTTTGACACTGTTTTCTCTCTCAGGATTTACATTTTGTTCAGCAGTCGGGGAAAATATGAAGTGGCCATTTGATAGGAATTTTCCGGCAGGAAGTTTTCGGCAGCCTAGAGGCAGATGGAGTGAAAGTTCCGACAGGGATAGTTTGAGTGTAGTAACAGTATGAATAACTATTCATATAACGAGGGCACTTAATAAAACCACAGTTACACGTTTGTCTTAGTCATAGATAAGCATGAAAACAAAAAATGCAGACGAGAATATGTAGAACTCTGCAAGATTTTTTTGTGGGCGATGGGGGGGGGGGGGGGCATATATATATGCCCTGAATGAAGATAGCAGAGTAAATCAGCAATATAAACAGTGTAGCCTACATCAAAAAATGATATGCTAATTTTTCCACTCATTGACAATTCAAGGATTCCCTTCTTAAGCGTCCAATACAGCGAACGGAAGATTCACTTTTATCTAACATTTTAAAAAATCATACAATTCTCTTTAGGCTCTTAACTTTTAATATTTAACCGAATTTCTTCGAAAAAAACTCGAAAAAATAGTTCTATATGAACTTACTAGGACTTTGCCTTACAATGTGCCCTTACTTACAATCTTCACCCACGCCTTTTTCCCAGGACTTGGATCCGGTACTATATTGAAGTTTTAGTTAACCCAATCGTTGGGAAATAATTAAATTATACATAATTGATTATATTAAAGGATGTTAGGGAAAATTATACAATCACAAATCCAAATATTTTATTAGTCTTGCATCCTTTTATTTTCTTCATAATTTACTTCATAAGAAAGTGTTTATACGAATATGCTTAATTCAAACAGCAATATTATGCGTGAGAGGTGATGTTTATCAATCAATTCTTATAAATTTCCTGATTTCCTAATCTGCCCACTGCCGAGATGTAAACAGATCATTAGGGCATCAAAGTAAGTTTTATTTATTACACAGGGCAGCAAACCAGTGAAAACAAGAGGTATCAAAAGAGAAGAAAAATCTTTTGGAAAAATTGTCTTTGATCTTGTTAATTCTGAAATATCTGGTACTCATCAGTTTACGAGCTGAAAACTGACCTTCCCTAAATCCACCAAATTACCAATTTCCAATACTTTATTAATCGAATTCTTTAAATCGTATAAATAGAATTATTTTTAAAAAGAACTTTATATGTAATGACATTTCTAAAAACTCTTTAACTGATTTCTTTTGAGTTTCTATTTTACTGTTTTATTTTATTCTTGTTAGTTTAAGATTTAATGATGCTTCTCCTTTTTGGATCAAAAATATATAAAACACCTCGCCGAAAACACAGGCATTTTATAGAGTATTTTATGACAGAAGTGAGGGATAAAATAAAATTCGATTTCTTTCAAATGTTCACTGACATTCAATGTTTAATTCACACTTGATTATTTACATCAAAAGATGTTTCCAAGTAAAACAGGAATATAACAAGCATTCGTCGTCAAAAGTCCAATTAAATAATACAGATTGAAAGCAAAGCAAACACAGACCACTTGTAAAATCAGAGTTGGGATCAGGTGTCAGAAAGAGGTAAGTATCCCTTATCGGCCTGTCACACCAGCCATGAGCTTTTTTTCTTGATCAGTTAAACGACGTACCGTTATACGTACCGGTAATCCGTAGACAATTCAGTATGAAAATAAAATCCTAACAATTTGTATTGAAAACGTCTATCAACATTTGATCTGATAAAAAAATCATATGCAGATGTTAAAGGTTTGATTTACAACTATAAATAAGGGAAGGTGACGATAAAAAAAAGTTTGTCATCACGTTAATCATGTTACCGGTAATAGCCATCAGTATTTTTTATCTGATGAAACATAGCATAAAATAAATGTTTTAGACTATTTATTCTATTTCGCGTTCAGTTGAATATTGCACTATCACTAATCTTACATGATTCTGGTTGCCAACATGACACACAATTAAACAACTGTAATTGAAAAGAAGTGTGACTTTCATGCATTGGTCTTGGTGAATGATAAAAAAGGTTGGTTTGCATTGGCGATTTTTTTTTTATGAAAATAGTAAATCTATTTAATAATAAATTGATGCCCGGCAAGAAAACATTGCATGTTGCAATCGTTTCTATTATTCATTTTTTCATTGAGTTCTCTAAAATAGATTACAAAATTGTAAATGCTCAGGTCCATCCTTTTCATTAATGCAGTCTGTGGCATCTAGAGGTTTTTATCCATTAAGTGACAAAATGTTATATTTTGTCTCATTAAAATGCTTTTAAAAGATATATTTCTCTGACAGATATGCGTTCTTTTTTATCCTGTAGCAGGAAAAACGTTCTGAAAATTGGCTTATTGTTAAATTTCAATGTTTTGTCTTATACTGGCAGTCTTACAATAAGCACAAAAAATGAAAATAAATGCATTTCAATGACCCACTGGTTATTGTATTCTACCAAACATTTATATATTATGCAATTACTGCAAAAAAAGTATCCCTGTAAAACAAGTTTTTGATTGTATAAAATCAATGTATAAGATGGCCTAAGAATTGAGAACACGCAAAAATATTTTTTTTTTAAGTAATGTTTGCTTTCACATATCGATGTTTATCTGGATACATGAAGTTTAAGTAGTATTTACCGTATAAGTTTTTATTGGTTTTCTCCAGATACCCTATAGAGAGGTTAAAAGGTCACGAGAAGGCGTAGCCTTCGAGTGACCTTTTAACCTCTCTATAGGGTATCTAGAGAAAACCAATAAAAAACTTATACGGTAAGTTACATGTACCATAGCACTCTCAGATTTCCTAATATGGCAGAGAGATGATGTATAAGTTGCAAATAAATTTCCTAATATGGTTTGTCACCTGACATAATTATAATTTCACGCGCTATACACTGTGCATATATATTACATTTTATTGCACATTTTGTGCACTTGCAATCAAAAAGCGAAAATGGACAAACACAGCCCAATTAGCATGGATCTGGATTTTTTTGAACTTCCGCAAAATTTTGAATGGGACATTTCTATCGATGATCAAACTCTCTCACAGATAGGCCAGTTGATAGAGGACGAAGTAAACGTGTTTGATGATCTCTTACTCAAACGGATTTTAATTTGACCCAGGAGCCGGTTACACCTGAAAATGTTAAACATCAGTTGGACCATTCTGACGATTGATTTGGAAAGCTTAACGATGACGACGACATGGAAAAACTTTAAGTCTACCGAGAATAAATTAAAGATTTTGAATTAAATTTAATTGATTTTGTATGCAATTTAAGACATGCACCGCCTATAGGTTATGAAGGCTCCGCCCATGGGTTATGGTGTAGATAACCCATAGTTAAAACAATAGAAAACATGGCGGCCTATGGTACATTGTATAATATACAGAGAATACTATATTATTAAATTGTAGTTTCTGTGTAAAATGACGAAACTTCAATACTGAATACATTGGCTGATTTGCTAAAGTATCATTTCTGTTTGCATTCAGATGTGATCCTTGGCAAATAACAGAATCTGATTGTGTTTTTGCTTGCTTGAACGTCTTAATATTAATTTATAATATACTAATATTGTCAGGTCGACGAAAGATGAAATATAAATTGAAAATATCTGTGGGCAAATCAAACTTTATAGAAAGATAATAGCTTTCAATAAAGTTTATGAATAAGATATTTATATCTACTTTGACTGAAATGATGCATTATACTGTATCGACAAGTAAAACATGATTAAGAATTTTGGATTCAGAAATGGATTTTCAATACAGCATCAAAGGAGCATAGGTCTTTTTGCAATTTCTTCACATTTTAACCCTTAATTATCCTGGCTGCAATTGTATAATTTTACCTATAATTCCATGCCTGAATATGCATTCTACAAAGGAAAGTTATCGACAGAGTAGACAATATCTAAGGTCTACTAATGGATTGAATTTGACTTGGAGCAAAGCGTAGCTTGATTCCACGCGAATATGAAGATATTACATTTACATTTTCTAATGGAGCACAAGAATTATTTCCAAGAGGCAATACTGGACATTTACATCTTAAAACCTGTAACTGGTTTTATGTTAGCCTTTGTGTGAACTTTCGAGCCTGATGATAACTTATTTCCCTTTTTGCATGACATTGATGTCTCGTCTTTTACATGTACAGATCATATGATATCGCTCTACCATTTAGCAGTATCCGGCTTCAGGAATAAAAATTCTTTCATACTGTAAGAAAGCGCATCTTCAAAAATAATTGAAAATCGTATTCCTTTAAATATAAATATCGCATAATAGCTGTGTTTTTCGCCAAAGGAGCGAATTAGTTATTTCGATAATTTCATTAAGAACGCATATTCCTACATTTTTTATATATTCAATT